CTTTGAAGCAAAGCAAGTGATGCAACTTATGGATTTTTAAAACTCAAGACCTGGAGGGGAAGGTGTAGCTCAGTGGCAAAGTGTATGCCTAGCATGCTCAAGGTCCCGGGTTTGATCCCCAAACCTAATTACCCTTGCCCCTCCCCCAAAACTAAATAATACAATAATAAATTAAAAAAAAAACAAGGCCTATTGAAACCTTACTGATCTCCCACTTTTTAGTTTTCCATGTTTATTGAGCACACATTTACTACATACTACCTTATCCCAGGCCTTGTGCGAGGCCCCAGAGACACATGTGAGAATTAAACACGAGCCCTGCCTTCAGAGGGTGTGGGGTCAGGCCGAGGATGCTGATGGTTTTTACATCTCAAGGTAAATCATAAACATAGACCAGGTGATCTACCAGATGGATTTCTTTGAAGAAAACACCTGCTTCTGCTACTTTCAGACTTCCCGTTTTCAATCCAAGGGCCACACTGTATGCTTTTTAATTTTCTTTGTTAAACTGCATCTCACTCAGTGTGACCCGTGGTGCTGCGCTGGTTTTCCACCTGATCTCAGTCTCCCAGTCTGTGGCTGTCACCTGGGATGCTGACAAAGAGGGTGTCTCTGCCCAGGCACCTTGTGTTGCGAGCACAGAACCTGACCGCACGTCAGCCTGGAGGGTCAGCTCTCAGGGCATCCACAGAACTGCTGAGCAGCCAAGCCCCACATTTGTGGCCACTTACTCTGTACCTACCACGAAGATGATTCTCATACCAACTCATTCCATCTCTGTGCCTCTTAGCTCAGAGTCTCAAGAGAGAGAATTGGATGGGTTTGTCTTCCTTGGTCAGGTGGTCACCTAGCTGCCATGGCAGGGTTGGGAGGGGAAAAACGAGGTGCTAAAGAGCAGTGTGGATACATAAAAATAGCTAAAAAAAGGAAAAAAACCTCACAGATTTCTTCTTCTCTATATTACAAGATATATTCAATATCTTGTAATAACCTTTAATGAAAAAGAACATGAAAACGAATATATGCATGTATATGCATGACTGGGAATTGTGCTTTACACTGGAAACTGACACATCGTAACAGACACATTGTAAATTCGATAAAAAATTTAAAAATAAATAAATACATACATATATAATACATACATACATACATAGCTAGCCGTGTGGGCCTCAGGCAGGGCAAAGTCCCTTGCTAGACCTGGAGGAGGCCAAGACCAGCATCCCTGGTCCAAACTGATTCTTTGAATCATTCATTCAATCAACAAATATTTATTGAGTGCTTATTATATGCCAAGCCTGTTTAAAGCAAACTTCCTGTTCTTAAGAACCTGCTATTCCACTGGGAAAAAAATTGATATAATCCTGCATTTTAATCTATCAAGTTGTCCTATTTTTGAGAATGGCAGTCCTGAGTGCTGGTGTGTGTGAGGCGAGACAGCTACATACACTGCTTATGGGTGTGCCTGTTGGCTTTCTGGGAAATAGCTTAGTATTAATGGGGGACTTGATTCCTTAGTAAGCAAGAATCTTAAAATTGTCCATGCCCCGTGACCCGCAATTACACTTCTAGGCATCTATTTCACAAAAATAATCAGAGACGTTATCCAATATAGTAAAATATAGCCAATTTAAATGTCAGCAAGAGGGAAATGTAGCTAGATGGATTTTAAATTAAAAACCCTTTAAAATCATGCTGATGAAGACTAATGATATGGGAGAAGGCATGTGTAAAAAAGAAAAAGAGGTATGTAAAATTGAATGATATATCTCAATTATATAAACTAAACACACAGATGCAAAAATAAAAGGCAAACACCATATAACATTGTTTTAATCTTTATTTTTGATTTACAGTGTTGTATTAGTCTCTGGTGTGCAGCATAGTGAATTAGTTATACATAGATACATACATACTCTTTTTCAGGGGAAGAGTATAGCTCAGTGGTAGAGCACATGCTTAGCATGCATGAGGTCCTGGGTTCAATCCCCAGTACCTCCATTAAAATAAATAAGTAAATAAAGAAACCTAATTATCTCCCCCCAAACAAAAACATGTTCTTTTTCATTACAGGTTGCTACAAGCCATTGAATATAGTTCCCTGTGCTGCATAGTAGGATCTTGTTGTTTATCTGTTCTGTCTATATATATAAAACATCATATAACATTAATATTATCTCTGGCTAATGGGAATACAGGTCATTTTAATTTCCTGCGTACTTCTCTGTTTTTCTACCATGTCTACAGTGAGTGTGTTTTAAGACCATAATCAGGCATAAAAGGAGCTACATTTTTAAAAAGAAAGAAAAAGCATTGGCTACCGTCCTGCCCTGCAGGTCTGTCAGCCGACATGGGTTGAGTGCAGGCTGCCTCTGTCTTCCTGTCCCAGAATCACAGCTGTCACCGAGGCTTAGACAGTGCTGCTATCTCTGGAGCACAGGGACCCTGCTGTACCAGCCAGCACGAGGGCCGCCCTGGTCCCTGCAGCTTGACACCCACACCCCACTTCCCTATACAGCAGGCTCCCCAGGGACCACGCTGTCTGGAGAGGTTGTTCTCAACGGAATACTTTCCAGTTCATCTCCAAATTCTGGGGATGCTCACCCAAGCTCTTCTTCAGTGGCCCTTAGGCTCCTAAAATCTTGACCCAGTTTGCAGAATTTTAAGCACCTGAAATCTCTGGGTTTCCACAGAGAGGCTGGGTTTTCCTGGGCCCCCGGCTCTCAAGTCAGTCTCTAGAATGTGAAGACTCTGAAACCAGACAGAGTTCAAATTCCATCTCTGCAACTCACTAGCTGTAAATCCTTAAGCAAATGATTTAACCCCTCTGTACCTCAACTTCCTTATCTGTGAAATAGAAACAGTAATAGTCACTCCTCTTAGGGTCATTGTGAGGCTTACAAGGTTGTATGTAAAGCACCTGGAGTTCTGTGCACACGCACGTCAGTCCTCTGCACCCCTCCAGAATATGAGTGGTGATGCATGCTTGTGAAGCAAGATCTGGCTCTTTTGGGTGTAAGTTCTAAGGTGGTGGTTCTCATGCTCCCATGCGTGGAAGAGCCATCCTGCTGGCTGTGTTAAAATGCAGGTTCCTGGGCCCCCATCTGCATGTGGCCCAGAAATCGGCGCTTTCTAGTCCTCAACCGCATTTTGCTGCACATGGGAGTGGTACACGCCCTCGCAGGCTGAGGCGCTTTCTCCCATAAGGCAGCCCCCGCCCCTCCGTCCCGTCCCTGGAACTCTTGCTCCTCCTCAGCTGGACCATGCTGGTTTCGGGGAGTCTGTGAAATGTTTGTGTTCCAGGGCTGACTTCCTAGCATTCCCCCAGGAGCTGGTAAAGAGAACCAAAAACCTCAGAACTTGGGCCATCACCTCCAAGCATCCTCTCTCTCATTAGCCTCGCAGTGATGGAATGATGAACGCGGCGGCTCAAGGGTAAGGAAGGCATCAGCTTTGTTTTCTGAGAGCTCGACCCCAACCTCTGGCTTCTGAGTTCGGGGAATAGTGGTTATTTACTAATAATGAAGCACTTTATTAATCGAGCCGGGTTCCTGTCCTCTTTAGCAGGCTCAGTAACAGGGATTTACAGTTTCATTCTGAATCTCTCTTCTCTGTGTCCCGTCTAAAAAGCTATATGGCTTAACTTCCTTATCAGACTGTGTAATAGGAAGTGATTTCCTAAGTCTGACCGTTTTATCACTCGGTTGCATTGACTAAAGTGTTTCTTAAACACCAAAACATATTAGCGCTAAACAAGGGGAAAACCGGATAAGACAAAACAGACTGGAGAGCTCAGTCCTCCTGACACGCCGGGGCCGTGGTGCTGGGGTTCGGAGGGAGGGCACTTTACTTCCCAGCTGTCACTCGGCAGCTTGGCCAGGAAGCTCTCTTGCTGGGCCTTTTTCATCCTGACTTTGGGGGCTTGGGATAGAATAAACATCTCTTTCTTCCACACACAGTCGGTCTAGGAAGGCACTTTTTTGTACCTGGAAAGTGAAAGACGTTAGATCTCACTATGAACTCTGCCACAGATGAATCTTTCTGGTGTTCAGGGGCGTGACGAATGGAAACACAGTCATGAATCACGTAACAGTCCACAGGGGCCTCTATAAAAGTCTGGGTCTAGCAGGCTTTTCCACCTGATACCTCGTTAAATAAACACAGCCCAGCACGTTGAACGGCCCTAAAAACCCAGATGCACGTCTGACCAAATGATGACCACAGCGTAGTTGTCGTTGTAGACAGTTTCCTAAGAATTTCACCCTAGGTCCGTGCTTCCCAGCCTTTCTCAGAATAAAGACCCAATTTGAACATCGAAAGACTGTGACACCCCACGGAGAGTAGCTGTGCCTTTAATATTAAATTAATATATAAAAGCTGCTATGAGAACTCAGTAACACTTTAAAATAAATTTGTATTTTATTGAGCACCCTAGAATTCACATGCTAATCTGACCTAACACTTCTAGAGCTCTCACTTTATGCTGGCTACTGTTCCATACCCTCCTTTCATTCCTACAACTCCAGGGAGAAGGTACTATCATTAGCCCCATTTTACAGTTCACAAAACTGAGACACAGAGAAAGTAACTTACCCAAGATCTCATAGAAGGTGGCAGAGCTGGGCTTTGAACCCAGGTAACTGCAGAGTTGTAAGCACTTTGCCACTGTGCTTTAAAAATACACACAGAATCGTCAGGTAGGATAGTCCTTACCTATTCCTCCCTTTTGAGGGCAGAACAGGACGTGATGATTGGAGCTCACATGATTCATGATTAATGGCAAAAGATAAAAATAAAAATACACAGAGAGACACACATATATCTCATCCAGACCACAGATACTGTTTAAGGGGAGGTTTACAAACACTTAGCACTAAATAACTCTCGGTTATCTTTTTTATCCATCCCCACAACAGATTGGGAACTACCTTCTTGGGTTTTTAATCCTCTTTTCTACTAAAAGTTAGACATTCATCTTAAAGCAACATATGGGCGCTTATAGGTGTGTGTATGTACGTTCATGTGCACGTGTGAGTGTTCCTCTGTGTGTGTGTACGTGTATACATGAGCTTCTCTTTAATTTTATGTTCTTAACACAAAACTGTGGAATCTTCCTTTATACATTTATTCTTCCATTCAGCATAGGGCTGACTCAGTCCTATGATGTGCTGAGTCCCATCATTCCTGCCCTTTGAGTCCTCAGTATCTCAGGGCAGGACTGTCCGGCTAACAGACAGTCACCCTCGAGGGTGGCACCCATGCTGTTGGTGGCTACACAAAGTTCCCCAGGAGGAGAGAGGGGGAGACGGAACACAAACTTGTTTTTTGGGAGGCATCAGGGAAGGCTTCTCACAGGAAGTGACTTTTGAACTGAGTTTTGGAGGCTGAGATGGAGTCAGGGAGGCAGACTTTGGGGGAGAGGACGTGCTGGTTGGTGAGTGGAGGTGAGGCTGGAAGAAAGTAGCCAGCTGAGGTCGACCATGTGAGGACTTTGCCCTGAGATAGACTGTTATCATTGTAGATGTTTTGCATGGATCTTGTCACAGAGAGCTGCTTCCTAAAGGAAACTTTTCATCCATACATCTATGCTGGCTGTGTTATGAGGCTTATGAAACACAAGAGCTTAAATCTGTAGGGCTCTGAGGTCACAAAGTCCACGTGGATCATAACACAGCTCTCCCAGCATTCTTATGTGTGGTGGCCTCATTTGCTAGCTGCCTTGGGTGTATATCCAGTGGGGGTGGTTTCTAGGTTAGAAATTCTCAGTTATTCTTGGAGCTTATGTTCCACTTGATTTCAGCTTCTCATTAGCAGGTGAGGGAATTATGC